TAGATAGATAGATAGATAGATAGATAGATAGATAGATAGATAGATAGATAGATAGATAGATAGATAGATAGATAGATAGATAGATAGATAGATATACATAAAACAAAGATCATGGATGTATGATCATTTTATAGTCAAACTTATCATTTACTTTGGTAGTGAATGTAAAAGAACTAAAATCTTTTACCTGACTCAAGGAAGCTGCATTGCCTCCTTAAAAAAGGGAAAAAAAGAAAAAAAAAAGGAATATTTGTAATTGAATTTAGGGAGTAAATATTAACAGGTGCATGTGAACACACACACACACACACACACACACTCACACACACACACACACACACACGAACCTGTTGTAGTGGAAGTGTCTCTATTTGTAGATTTTTTCAGAGGTCCTCTGTTGAGAGGGATAATGAGCCATTAGTTTGCATTAGAATTACATCATCAAAACATTTGCATAATAACAATAACAAATATTGCCAGTCGGGACTCTGCCTGACTTTTTTTTTTTTTTTAAGGATTGGTACCTGTTTAGAAAGTGCAATTATTTCAAATAATATTAAAAAGCCCAATCATTTTTTTGATTTTAGGTTTTACAGCCACAATAAGTTTTATAAAAAAGGTGTTTCTTAAAACTGCTTTGATGACATTTTAAAGTAAACTACTGTGCAGGCATATAATTAATTTAATGTACACATAAAAACAATAATGTAACATTGTAATACAAGGTTATGTTTGCCTGAAAAACAACAACAAAGACTTGTTAAATAACTGCTACAGTCGTGACTAGAAATACACAGATAGAACACATTCGCAAATGAGAAAAATATTCAACATACTTTTTCTTATAAAAGAAGTATCCACCACCAACAGCAACAGCCATGAGGACAAAGCATGCGATTACTATTCCAGCAATGGCACCGGCAGATAATCCTGATGATGGTTCTGGGACTGTACAAATACAAAAAAATGTTTTATATTATTTTGAATAGGAGTTTCTCCATCATCTCATAGTCATGTGAAAAAAATTCCTCCTTTGATTGATCTGTTATTGGACAGGTTTCAGTGTCAATTTATTGGACAATTTATTACACAGAAGAGGTGCAGAAATCATTAAATGGAGAATTTTTTGTAACATTTAAATGTTATGTCAAAACTATCAAGGCACCATGTGGCTTTGGCAAATATCGCTCTATCTCTCATCTTTAAATGGAGTCCTGTATTTAAAACATAATTGTCTTGTGAACGTAAATTTATTTTTTATTTTTTATTAGTATAAAAGATCTTTAAGTAAAAACTTCCAGAAGTCTATCAGCTGAATACAAAATTCAATAGAATCAACACATGCAGGTACCTCTTACAGTCAATTCATGCACCACTGATGATGACGTTCTTTCGGTTATATCATTCAATGCTTGACAGGTGTAGTTTCCACTATCAGAAAGTTCAACCTCTTCTTTAACGTACTCAGCAGAATCACTGAGGAATTCTATACCATTACGCAACCAGCTAAATGTGGCAGATGGCGTGGACTCAGCAGAGCAGGTCAGATTTAAAGTGTCTTTGATATTTATCTTATTTGGACCTTTGAGCTGAACTTTTTCTGGTCCATCTGAAAAACAGGTATTTGTAAAATGAATGATAAAAATATCAGTAGGTTCTTAATTTTCAAATAAAAATTTTGTATTAAATGGCTGTATGCATGAACAGTAATGTACACTGAACAGCACATTACTTACAATTAACAATCATGACGTATTTAGCTCCATCACTGCTGACAGGATTGCTGATTTGACAGACATATTCTCCATTGTCTTTCCAATTCACAGTGTTAAATGTCAATACTCTGTTATTGTCAGAAAGGACCATGTTGTCAGTCGGGTTCAGATCAGAGTTATTCTTCATCCACTTTCTGGTAAAGACTTGGCCAATAGCTTCACAGGTTAAGTTGACAGGGGTCCCCTCAACTGGCAGGTTTGGTGATGGTTTGACAGAAGCGCCTGATATTTTCTCTGTTTGCCAAAAATAAATAATTGAAGGAAAAAAAGAATATTTATATAATCAAAAATATGCAAGTGACTAAGGGCCAAAATAATAAACTAAGTTTAGTGATGGCAAGATTAAAAAAAAGAGCTAAAAAAAAGAAACTAATGATATTAAAAACACCAAATAAAACGTTGGAGTTGAATTAAACTCTTCAGATGTGGGTTAATTCTCTCTGGACTAACAAAAGGATTAATAGGCAACACTAAATGTAATGTAAGTCATATAATCTACTATTAGGGTTTTCATGATAGCAGAATTTCAAACCCCATACCGACACCTTGAAAATACCCTCAATACCACAATCCTTAAACAACAATTGTGAAAATGTGATATCTCAAAAAAGCTTCAGCTGTTAGTGAGGGGGGGAGCTGTGTGCTTGTCTGTCCACAGCAGAGTTGTGTTAAGTTGTATTTATTACTTTTATATGACATTTTCACACAACTTGACTTTTAAGGTCAAGACATGTAGCATTAAATTTAAAGGTGTCTGATATTAATTTGTTGTCAATGGAAAATTGTACTTAGTAGTCAGTATAAGCTTTTAATGATGTAAGTTTATTTATGATAGAATATTGCATGATGACTAGGGATGGGTACCGGTGTCGGCACCGGTTCTGACATAAACGGTAGTAACCAGACCGAAAAGCAGCGCACATTTCGGTGCTTTATTTCGGTGCTTTTTTTTC